CGTAAGAATAATACGTAATATTACAAAATTTGGATTATATAAATTTTTGCAGGAGGAATGGCATTGCATTCCAAGAGCATTCAAATATATGTAGATATAAAATTCATCCAGTATGATTAGAAAAAATAATAATTTTTAATCATTCAATACATAACTTAATCATGTATTTTTTATTTATAGAGTAGGTAAATTTGAGTTCCAACTGTTTTGCGCAATTCATATGCAAGCAAGATGATAGTATTTAAAATTTTAAAAATACATACATCAATAATCCAACGTTTATTTTTTTAGGATAAATCATTCATGAAATAAATATAATAGAAATAAAAAATAGTACAGAATATAAATTTTGAACCGGGAGAATTTAGGATATTCCTTAGATACACTTTTTGCCTATTATACATGCATATCTTGATTATCATGGTTATGTATATCATCATTTTAATTTAATTTTAAAGTGTTCTTTGAAAATATGTACATCCTTGAGTATTTTCAATATAACAAAAGGATATGTCGGTTCATTCCTTACCAGATCACACCGATAGCTATTACTTTATGCTAAAGTGCATATCGATAATAAACAAATTAAAAAAAATCGGGGTGTCCTTTTATATCCATTCACTTTTATAAATTTATTTCATCTATTGAATGCATGCATTAAATTCTCTGATGAAATATAAAAATGACTTTTTCCAAATAACTTTAAAAAATGAACTCAAAATTTCAAAGTTTGATAATGTTGAAGTGATAAGGAATACTTGAATGAAATTAAAATGAAACATTTTTCGTATTTTAAGTTAAGGACAGATATTTTATAGCTATCATGTAGTATAAATACAAACTGACAATTTTAATTCATGTAAATCACGTGATAATATCGTTTAATCCTTTTCCTCACATATGTATTTCTAAACAAACATTTAACTTTATTCTGTATATAAATTTGCAATGCATTTCCGAATGAACAAAAACATTTTCTACATTTAACCATATATAAATTATATTTGAAAAAAGTAGGTTTACATGTAAACATTTGATATTATTTTAATGTATTTTTAACCAGAAAAAGCACTTAGCTGGTTAAACAATGAGTATTGCATTTTGTTCTTTGTATAATTTGTATGCATTATTGTTGATTTTAATCCTGTAGTTCGTAAAATAAACAACAAAAAAGTAATATATGAAAAGGTAATTTTTTTAAGTACATCGACGTATCAAAATTTACTATTCAGTTACATGTATTTATATAAGCTATCATAAAATGATGTAATAAAACTGTACAGGAAATACGTTATTTATGCAATCAATTTAAAATCTTTTGGCTAGTTACTACATGTAGTAATACTAACAAGGAACTGTGACTTGAAGTATTTCTTGTAAGATTTGTATTTTGATAAAAGTACAGAAAGGATTCTATTGTTTCTATTTTTTCTTGATGAAACAATGTATGAATTATTTGTTTTTAATGTAGCATGAACAGTATTTTATAGACGCGTAACCTTGTGTACTAATGTTCATCATTGAACGACTGCCGGGATCACTCAAGCTCTAGTGATTTGGACATTTCACCGATGTGTTCACTGCTACAAATATTTAATATGTTTTCCTTGTTTTTCAATGGATTGAAATGCATGAAATCAAACATGTAATATTAATTAAATGGACAAAATGTAAATATCTGCTAATCAGACACCTGTCAATACAAAGGTTTGTTAAGGCAATATAAAAAGGTTAATACTAAACATGAAACAAAGTAATAAAGAATAAGGGATCATATTAACTTAATTTAAAATAAAGTTAAGATGCATACGTATTTCAATGTACGCAGAGGAGAATTAACAAAACAAAGAGAAAAAAAAGAAAAAAAAATATCAACGTTACAAACAGACATGATGTGAACATTAATTTTACACATACAAAAGAAGGTTATCTTGAGAGGTGTCTACCTTTTAATTAAAAGAAGATATTAGAAAATATTCCCGTTGACAAAATATATCGATATGTGTATTATTTCAAATTATCAAAATTTAAAGACAAGTACATGTATATACTCTCTGGTACTCCTTTGATGTGCTTACATAGTTTATGCTCATTGCAATGGGTTCAACATACCGTATAAGTAGAATTTTTAAAGAGGATTTAATTTTTGCATTATTAGCGAGGGTGCCGAGAGCGCTAATATTGAATATCGCAGAAAATTAATTGAATTTTATAAGTAATAGCTCCTTGGATGTGCATTTTTTAAAATCGCTAAAATAACATTTCGCTAAAATTAAATTACCAGTTTTTAATGACAAACCACTAAATTTGCGTCTAGCTAAAATTTCCACTTATACGGTAATTTCCTTCGTCTGATCCTTTTCCAATTGTATTTGCACTTACTTCGTTTTTATTGTCCTGTACCTCAATATAAAAAAGTGCCTCGTTTTTTCTGTCAACTTCTTGATTTGTGTCCCTCTGTATAATCCTTTTCCATGTTGCAACGAATCCTTCGGTCCATAATATTTTGACAGAAATAGCCAAAATGAGAAAAGAAAAGATGACAACAAAGCCAATGATAATCGGTTTGGAGGGATCTGCACGAAATTGAGCAAAGAAATTAAATCATTTTTAATCATTGCACAGTTGAAAGAACAATCATAAACAAACAGTTAATACTGTTAACTCCAGAGAAGGCTGGTTTTATACACATCCAGCAGATTGGACGACTCTCCGGATAAGATAACATTTTAACAATAAAAGGGTTTAAATGGTCTCAAAGTCTAATCATATTAGGCAAAATTTCCAATTTTAGAAAATCGTGATTACAATGTACAAAAGTTTAATCGTAAAGATCTTAAGAGAGAATTAATAAATTGTATTTATAAAAAAAATATACCTTCTTTTCCAATGCTGACACAGCCAACAAACTTGTTACAGAATATTTCAGTGCAATCACATTGTTGTTGACAGAGGCGGCCAAAATTAGGGTAGCGGCATTGTAAAGAACAATTTGGTCCCGTAAGTCCAATGGAGCATTCTGATCTCATGAAAGAGAAAAAATAAATAAATTTACAGTTTTCATATATTGGGAGGGGGGGGGGGTTAGAAAATTTCAACTAGATATCAGTTTATTGAGTTATCAAACATGCCCTTTCCATCCTATAAGGAAAGCGTGCATGATTTCTAAACTTGAACTTGCGCGAATCAAGTCTGAATATTTTTTTTATAATCTAAAGCTCACTGCAGTTAAAGGTAGTTTTGTTCCATTTTGTACTAAACTTAACACGAGGACTAAAAGGAGATTAAATGAAAAGATTGCATAAGAAAGAAAGAAGAAAACTTGCAAAAAGTTTTCATTTTACACTGGTCATAGCTTTCGATTGATTGGTTGATTGTATATTGTTTAACGCTCCTCTGGAGAATTTTTCACTCATATGGAGACGTCAACGTATGTCGGTTAAAGATACTTGGACACAGATTTGAAGGTCATATTTTCTGTATGATAATAGGATTATATATTTTAATAGCATTTCACACAATAATTAATTAAATATCTTATTTCAAATAAAAGTTATTAAAACGTTACATTTTTTTGGCGGGTTTGATTTACACATCCTTGCACGTTCACATATTTTAATTTACTCTTAATACTTAGGAAAAGTGGTAATCTTTTTGTGTATTAATGAGAAATATTAAAACTTTAATCCAGAAAAATAATTTTATTCAGAGTAGAAATGATAGAAAGCAAAACTCCTTCATGAGTATCTTCCTTCCGTTGTGTACAGAGTTGTGCAAATCGAGCACACTTGTTTTATGTACACATTTTTTGTAAACAAGGCAAGAGCCTGCTATTGTTTGGTCTTTACGATTCGCCGGGTGCGTTTGAAATCGTCACAGTCTGCTTACCACAACTGCACGGACTGACAATATATTGTGTGTTTGTTTTGCTTTCGAACATGTCTACTCTGAATTTTCTGGATTATAGTATTAATAATTTTCATTCATACACAACAAGATTGCCACTTTTCCTAAGGATTAAGAATAAAGTTAAAATTTGTGAATGTGCAAGGATGTGTCAATCAAACCCGCCAAAAAGTTTAAAGTTTTAATAACTTTTAAATGAAATAAGATTTTTAATTAATTTTTGTGTGAAATGCTATTAAAATATATAAGTCGTTATATTATAGAGAAAAAATGAACTTCAAATCTATGTCTAAGTACGTTTAAGGGCTTCAAATAGACATTTGCGAAATAGCGTACAGCGAACAGCGGACTTCCGACTTCAGACATTTAAAGGCGGACTTTTCTAAGGGAACGGTTTAAAAAATTGAAAATATAATTTTATAACAAATTATCTGAAAATGTAAGCCTCTGATAGCTATGAAAAAATTAAATCGAAGAATTTTGAAATTCGTATTTTGATTTTTTAAATTAGAAAGTTTGCAAAGAATTTATTCGTGAACATTTAAACTGTCTCAAAAGAACTTATATTTTTGTATGCATTATTTAATTGAAAAGTATCAAATATGAACTGCAAATAACTACAATCTCAGAAAATTAATTATTCAGACGTTACATTTCAACTTTACATTTTATTTGTTTCTAATTTGCAAACTGAAGGTACAACTTCCGATCAATGCGATACACTGTATATAAACCTTATGAAATAAGGGGTGTTTTACGCCCTGCATGCACAAATTTTGGTCATGTATTACTTGCATTATACTTTTCAATTCCCAATTGCTGGACCATTTGTCGTTGGAAAATGAACTGAATAGAAAGCATGAATTTTGTCAAAACTTTTACTTTAACATTTTACTGTATGAAACTTATACTAAATTAGCCTATTTTAAATAAAGTGGACAACTAAGAAACTGAGTTTAATGGCAATGAGTAAAAAACGTCTCTCAAAGATTAAAAGAAATGTTGTTTTTTTTTTTTTGTTTGTTTGTTTGTTTGTTTTTACATTTCTGTTGAATATTGAATAAAATGAAGATAAACGGGTGACTTCCGGTGTAGATGGACTGGAAAAACAAAGGAGAGAAAAATTATTTTTCTGCAAACTAAAAGAGCTCAAATTGCATAAAAAGGGTAGTGGTAGGTCTCTAAGGTGCTTGAGAAGGTTTTGCAATAAATCTGTTGTGGAGAAAATCTATTTTGCCTACGAAATATACGAAATATCCAACAAAGGATGGCTAGTAAACAAATCCAAGATGGCGGACTCGATCAAAGCGGGAAAACAAACTGAAGAGAAGAGGTAGACCTGCTAAATCAGCATCTAACTCTAGGAACAACTCCAGAACTAACTCCCCTAATAAACTTGTAAATGGATCAAATGACACGGAGGAAATCTGGAACTGCAACTTGTGCAAATACTCGTTCTCTGACCCCAGTGACAAATTACTGGAATGCCAACGATGCAAGGACCACTTTTGTATTAAGTGCTTGGACAAGTCGGTCGAAGAATACAATCTGATGGACAGTAGTGATATCATGTGGTTCTGTGTGCCATGCCGAGAAAAAGTAGAGAAAAATATCACTGTGGACAGAGAAATTGAGGAGAGATGTAATGACATGATGAAGATGTTCGACAGTAGAATTAAGTATCTGGAGGACGAGATGGAGAAGAAATGCAGTGAAGAACAAGTGAGGGAGATAGTTTCTGAGGCAATACAGAAATCAACAGAATCAAATCAAGCTGATACAGAGGACGAGACTGCGAGTGAATCTGGAAAACACACCGTGCCAGTATCAGCAGTACTGAGTGAAATTAATGAGAGGAAAAACAGAGAATGTAACATGATCATCTATGGGATAGAGGAAAGTGACTCAGACAATAAGGAAGTACGTCGTTCCTATGACAGAGATCAGGTGAAAGAAATTGCTGATGTTTGTGAAGTGAACATCGCAGATGAAAACATGATAAAGTTAGTGAGACTTGGTAAATTTAATAAGGATAAGAAACGCCGTCCATTGCTCGTTACCTTCTCAACCCCAGAAAAAAGTGGAATTCTTTAAACGAGGTGGAAAGTTGCGGGAAAACATTGAATTCAGTGAAGTACGACTTGCAAATGATTTGACACGCACAGAGAGGGAAAATGAAAAGAAACTGTATATGAAAGCCAAGGAACTGAATAAATATGGTTCGGGGGAATTCAATTACCGTGTGCGCGGTCCACGTTGGGCAAGGAAAGTGGTAAAGCTCAGGGTAAGCGATCCAGACTAGAAGATACAAAGAGGAATGTAAATAATCTATATAGTTTTAAAGTGATAAACAAACGTTCGTTCTTTTACACCAATGCAGACCAATTTAGAAATAAGTTCAATGAGTTCCAAGTCAGGATAAGGGACACAAAGCCATTGATAATAGGAATAACAGAAGTGAAGGCAAAAAATGCAACATGTGCACCTAATCCAGCTGAATATAAGATGGATTGTACGAAGGAATACGGGATGTTTCATGTAAATATTGAAAGCAGCATAGGTAGAGGACTACTTTTATATGTACATGATTCTCTTTATGCAGAGGAGGCAAAACTTTCAGCGTCCTTTAAGGAGCAGCTTTTTGTGAAAATAAAGATAAACAGCACAGACTATTTCCTAGTTGGCCTCATTTATCGGTCACCGTCAGACAATACCGAAGAAAAAATGAATGTTTAAGAAACCTGATAACTGAAGCCTCAAGAATGAAGTGCAAACACTATCTCATTATGGGAGATTTCAACTATCCTAATATAGACTGGGATTTACTATGTACAAAAAGTGAAAACTCTGCTGAGCAGAAATTCATAGATTGTCTGCAGGACAACTTCATGTTCCAAACCGTCACAAAACCAACAAGGTGTAGAGGAACGAACATTCCAACCATTTTGGATCTTGTGATCACAAAGGATGAAAATGCTGTGGAGGAAATGGAATACCAAAGTCCATTAGGAAAGAGCGACCACTGTGTTATCTGCTTTAACTATGTTTGCAGTGCAATACTGAAAAGCGGACCAAAAAAGAGGAGGACTTATAGGAAAGCTAACTTTGCGGGTATGAAGAAGGAAATTAGCGAAACAGATTGGGAAAGCATTTTGGAGTCACAGAGCACAGTAAACGAGATGTGGCGTCAATTCCGACAAAACATTGAGGACATAGAAGATAAATATGTGCCAGTAGTCACCATCAGACCAAGCAGAAAAACGAAAATGCCCTTGGACAAAGAAACTGTCACCTTGATTAAAGAAAAAAACGCACTGTGCAGAAAATATGTGGCTACCAAGGATCCAAATATAAGGAAAAAGTACAATAGGACTAGGAACAAAGTGGCAAAGTTTGTGAGGAAAGCAAGGAAGTCATTCGAAAAGAGTATAGCACAAGAGGCAAAAGCTAACCCAAAAAAGATAAGGCAGTATATTAACTCAAAAAGTAAAACGAGACAAGGAATCGGGGAACTGTGTGTCGACCCTAAAAATCCAAAGTCCAACTAGATGCTGTCATGAGACAGTAATACCCGCACTATGGTGTTTGCCTCTAAATATACACTCATTCATATTGGACTTTCCAAGGAAGAAGTCAAAATAATTCTATAATTATCACCGTACATGTATTCGTCAAATTGAACATAAAATTTTCAGATGACCATATCAACTCTGAGCCTCACATATGTATTTTAAATACTTAATTCATAACCAGTCTGAAATAACAGAATTTAATTAATGATTGAAGTAAATTACTTAATTAGATTCAAATAAATAATTTCCCCATAATTTGGAACTTTTTAAATTTACTTTCTCAACGACATAAAATATTATTTTAGTACAAAGCGTTTTTGATGAATTTATCAAAATGTGCAAACTGATTTAAGTATTTGGTCGGGAAAAAAGCCCATTGAAAATACAACCCGATTAATTTGTCAATGCCTATCCCCCCCCCCCCCCATCCCCCCCCACACACACACACACTCTCTCTCTCACTCTCACATTTTTTAAAAAAACATAGTTTAGTTTATTATGATAGTTTGAAATTTGTTCTTGTACTAAACAGTTTTATTTTCTACATTCACATTGGGTTTGCGTCACCCATTATCATATTTATAGATATCACCTCTCGGCACACCTCGGCCAATTCATACTGGCAAAGGAATCAGCAAAGGTTTGTCGAATGAGATTATTTAGCACATGTATGCTGACGATGCAGTGTGGTCAGTTAAAATCATTTGTGTTTTAATTGGATTATATGGATTATATTTCATGAATTCGTTGTCACGACCTATGACATTCGGTAAGTACAAGATTTAGCATAGATTGCATACAAATAAATAAATGCAAATGGTTAGGTTGAAGTTCAAAAAGGGTCAACATGGTCAAAGATCATCGCATGCCACAGTCGACAAATTTCACATTGTCAAGTTATCTCCCGTTGCGGAAATTCAGTATATACAGGCGCAGATCAATAATTTTTTTTTTCAGAAAGGGGGGGGGTGTCACACCTCAGTCAAAAAAATCAGCCCAAGATTTCCTGAGATGGAAATAAAAAATAATAATAAAAACAATGATGGTGGAGTCCCTGTTTTCTAAGGGGGAGGATGTCCAAAGTCATTTTTATTCTTTACAGTACATATATAGTCTTATTTAAATAACTGCTAATTCCAGGGGGGGGGGGGGGATCTGATCTCCCTAGCCACTGACTCCCTGTACCTGAAATGACAATTGATCTTATGACTCCATAATAGTAGAAAATGTTTTCAATTGACTATTTATACATATTTTGTTTCCTATGTTTATGTATTTTTGTCTGTCCACGGAAACTTTAACCTTGCCCATATTTTTTAAGTGGATTGGGCTATACACATGGCTTGAATATTTCATAGGTAAATTTCTTTTGGCAAAACCTTTTAATGGGTACCACCAATTTTGACCTCTTGATCTCTTGACCTTGAATTTTGACCCAATTTTACAAGAAAAATACCTTGAACTTGGCGTAAGTTTTGAACAGGTGGTGCTAGGGCTTTCATGCTCTTACATGTGTAATCATTGTGAACTTTCAACAGGTATAATTATTTTTGACCTAGACCTTAGAGTTGAATCCAATTTAACTTTAACCTTGGCAATAACTTTTGAACAGGTGAGGAAGTTCTAGGGATTTCTCACTTTTTTCACATGTGTATTCCTTGTGACAAGACTTTCCCTTTGATACCAACAATTTAGACCCTTTGACCTTGACCTTGGAGTTTGACTTACATTTGAGAAACTTCAACCTTTGCCAAAAGCTGCCATAACAGTTGCTGTCACAACAAACAAACAAATTACTAAAAAAAAAACACAGAATACATGTACATATTTTATATTCAACAGATATACATCTGGTCATATCTCTAGTTCTCCCTTGAATGAGACATGGTGATATAAATTTTAAAAAATAATTATAAGAGTTGAAAAGGTTGTGCATATTGAAATATACTAAGCTCTGCAGATGAATTAGATATACCAGTTTAGCTTTATTTTGCTACCCAAAGCACCTTGATTAACTATTTATAAGCATACTGTTTTTTGAAATGTACTGATTTCTGTTGTCCATCTGTTTATCTGCAAACTTTTCACATTAACTTCTTAAGAACCACAAGGCTAATTTCAACCAATTTACATTTAAATATGCAGGGTACTTTTTAAGCGCCCGGATCTATAGATCCCGGGCATATATTGTTTTTGTCCTGTCTGTTTGTCTGTTTGTCTGTTTATCTGTTTGTCTGTTTGTCAACTTTAACCTTGGCCATAACTTTTGGACAATAAGGGATAGAGACTTCATATTTGGTAAGCATACTCCACCAATAAAAACCTTTCAAATGACTTCAAGGTCAATGACCTTGTGACCTTGACTAAGACTTATATGCTAAAAATAGCTTTTTCCACTGTTTGTCATAACTTTTGAACCATAGGAGATAGGGACTTCATATTTGGTATGCATACTCCACTAATAGAGTCCTTTCAAAAGACATCAAGGTCAATGATCTTGTGACCTTGACTGTGACCTATATGCTAAAAATAGCTTTCTACACTTTTTGCCACAACTTTTGAACCATGGGAGATAGGGACTTCATATTAAGTACGCATACTCCACTGATTAAGTTCTTTCGAATGACACCATGGTCAATGACCTTGTGACCTTGACTGTGATCAATATGCTAAAAGAAGATTTTTTTAACTTTGTTGCCGCCGGGCGCGTAGTGTTTCACAAACACATCTTGTTCCAACATAAATCTTCTTCTCAAGAACAGCAAAGACATTTATTGTCCCCATTTTTGCTAAAGGTAGGGTACATTAAATCTCATTTGTTTGTCAATCTACCCATCTGTCACAATAAATTTAACCTTGGTCATCATGGTCATATATTTTGAATGAGAAGAGATAGGACTTTTATATTAAATATGTGTATTAGTATTAAATGGGACAATACCATTCTACATACAATATGATTTTCATTACCCATGATCTTGAAGTTTGACCTAATTTCCTTAAAAAAATTAATTGCTTTGAATTGATCATTTTGAAAGATAAAGGGCATTCATATTACCTGTGATAAGACCTTCCAAAATGTATCATGACTTTTTGACTCTGTGACCTTGACCTTGAAGTTTAACTTAGTTTTCATTAATGTTGTATTTCCTTTTCATTGAGAAGAGATTTGACTTTCACATTTCAAGTGAACATTACCCATAACAAGAGGCTCCCAACATGCTATGATTTTTTATCCCTTGACCTTGATGTTTTAACAAAATTTCAAAAGAGTGAACTCTCCCAAAAGATGATAAGACCACTGTTTAAAACAAAAAAGGAGTTTAGGGAAGACTTGGCTTTTTCCATAAAAAACGTCATTTTTCAACCCTCATTTGACCCCCCGGGCAAAATCAAAATTCCGAAACCTAACTGCACATCTACATGACCCAACCAACCATCTCCCAAAGATGATTAGGATGCTAAATAAAATGTAAGAGGAGTTCAGGGAAGATGGGGCTTTTTCCATAAAAAACATCATTTTTCGACCCTTATTTGACCCCCCAGGGCAAAATCAAAATTCCAAAACCTTACTGCACATCTACATGACCCCACCAACAATCTCCCAAAAGCTGGTTAGGCTACTGAGTAAAATGTAGAAGGAGTTCAGGGAAGACGGGGCTTTTTGGACAAAAAGCGTCATTTAACCCCCATTTGACCCCCTGGGGCAAAATCAAAATTCCGAAAGCTTACTGCACATCTACATGACCCCACCAACCATCTCCCAAAAGCTGGTTAGGCTACTGAGTAAAATGTAGAAGGAGTTCAGGGAAGACGGGGCTTTTTGGACAAAAAACGTCATTTTTCGACCCCCATTTGACCCCCAGGGGCAAAATCGAAATTCCAAAACCTTACTGCACATCTACATGACCCCACCAACCATCTCCCAAAAGCTGGTTAAGCTACTGAGTAAAATGTAAGAGAAGTTCAGGGAAGACGGAGCTTTTTGCTTAAAAAACGTCGTTTTTCTACCCCCATTTGACCACCTGGGGCAAAATCAAAATTCCGAAAGCTTACTGCACATCTACATGACCCCACCAACCATCTCCAAAAAGCTGGTTAGGCTACTGAGTAAAATGTAGAAGGAGTTCAGGGAAGACGGGGCTTTTTGGACAAAAAACGTCATTTTTCGACCCCCATTTGACCCCCCGGGGCTAAATCGAAATTCCAAAACCTTACTGCACATCTACATGACCCCACCAACCATCTCCCAAAAGCTGGTTAAGCTACTGAGTAAAATGTAACAGGAGTTCAGGGAAGACGGAGCTTTTTGCTTAAAAAACGTCATTTTTCGACCCCCATTTGACCCCCTGGGGCAAAATCAAAATTCCGAAAGCTTACTGCACATCTACATGACCCCACAAACCATCTCCCAAAAGATGATTAAGCTACTGTGTAAAATGTAGGAGGAGTTCAGGGAAGAAAAGTGTGACAGACGGACGGACGGACATGAGTAGCAACAATATACCCGAACTTTCTTTAGAAAGTGCGGGTATAATAAAACAGAAGTGGATAAAGAGAAAGCAAATATTTTAGCAGACTTTTTTAGTTGCGTTTTTACACAAGAACCTGAGGAAGCCATACCCGAACTGGACAAACGCCCTATCAAGATGGAGTGGACAGAATTAAGAATATTGGAGGAAGGAATTATCAAAGCACTGAACCTGTTAAAGCCAGATAAGTCACCAGGATTAGACAACATGCATCCAAGGCTATTTAGGGAATTAAGAGTGGAATTAGCAGAACCCCTAGCAAGGATCTTTAGGAAGTCAGTAGATGAGAGAAAAATTCCAGAAGAATGGAAAACAGCACGTATTAGTGCGATCCTTAAAAAAGGAAACAAGGCGATAGCAGGAAACTACAGACCAGTGAGCTTAACGTCAGTGGTGTGTAAAGTCATGGAGAGACAAGTTAGGGACCACATAATAGAGCAACAACCTCTTTACAACTAAACAATATGGCTTTATCAGTGGTAGATCAACTTCACTACAACTGTTAAGGGAATTAGAGGAATGGACAGAGGCTTTGGACAGTGGACATGATGTTGACTGTATCTACATGGACTATCACAAGGCCTTTGATACTGTCCCACATAACAGAATGCTTAAGAAACTGGAAGCATATGGAATAGGGAAAGAACTTATAGACTGGATAAGGAACTACCTAAGTGGAAGGAAACAACAAGTATCCATAAACGGGGCAACATCTAAATTGCATAGCGTAGCTTCCGGCATTCCGCAGGGGTCAGTAATTGGGCCGATAATGTTCGTCATATTTATCAACGATCTCCCTGATATCGTGAGCTCTACTGTGTACCTATTTGCCGACGACACGAAAATCTTCAACATAGTTAAGGGTAGGGAAGATAAAATGACACTTCAAAGAGATCTTGAGAAACTAACAGAATGGAGTAACACCTGGCTCTTAAAGTTCCATCCAGAAAAATGTAAACACATGCACATTGGAAAGAAAGACCCAGACCAAGACTTTGAGTATGAGCTGTTAGGACGCACTCTGGAGAAGGTACAAGAGGAAAAAGACATAGGAGTCATCATAGATGAACAACTTAGCTTTGACAGACACATAAGCGAGAAGGTGAAAAAGGCAAACTCTATTTTTGCAATGTTAAGGCGAACTTTTCAACATTTGGACGAAGAAACTTTCATTCCTCTTTATAAGACACTTGTCAGGACACATTCAGATTATGCGAGTTCGGTCTGGTTCCCTTTCAAATCAAGACACATAGAGATGATTGAAGGAGTGCAGAGAAGAGCTACCAAGCAGATTCCAGGATTGGCAAAATTAAGCTATGAAGAAAGGTTGAAGAAACTAAAACTACCAACGCTGAAGTACAGGCGCCACCGAGGAGATATGATTGAAGTGTACAAAATAACAAGTGGAAAGTATGACTCATTAGCAGCAGACTTTATCAAGTTAAGGAGAGACCACGTTACTAGGGAACAAGGAAGAGGGAATTCCAAGAAGCTGTTAGTACAGAGACCGAGACTCAATATAAGAAAATTCAGCTTCAGTGTTAGAACTGTCAGTCTATGGAATAGCTTACCAGAGGATGTTGTAAGTGCTAAAACTCTGAATACTTTCAAGAATAGACTAAACAACTTCTGGAAGGACCAGGATGTGCTCTATAATTACAAAGTAGACTTTAAAACCGATTACACCGGTAGTCACCCAAGTAGTCACAAAGCAAGTTTGGAGTCCGACGAAGAGGACCTTGACAGGACCTGTGTTGGAAAAATACCATAAGTAACCATAAGTAAGTAAGTAAAAAAATGTGAAAAGTACTAAAAGCTTAATCTGTTAATCTGTTACTGTTAACCACCTTTTATTCGCGTGCGAGAAATTTTTGCGAAGTTCATGAGAACTATGTCATCGAAAATATTCCTCACCGTGAACCGGTCTCTAAAGTATGTGTGTTAATTAATAACAGGTCCAAAATCGGCTTGATCGCGAAAATTGATCGTCGCGTACAAGTTAACCGCTGTTTAATCGCAAAATAAAGTCTTTGCGAATTAAAGTTGGTTAACATATAGTTGTTATATATTTAAAATATGTATTGAAGAGACACTATCGATTTTTTAATTTTTTTTTGGGGGGGGGGGGCGGGGGGGAGGGGGTTACAAGGAAAATATTCTAAACTCGAAAATTCCATTCTCAGAGAGGGTGTGTGCATGTTAATTTCCATCTTTTAGATACTTTCGCATATTAAGCTAATTTCACTGCCTATACAAGTACTGTGCTAGTGAGAGGATGAGATCAACTGGCTTTCAAAAGGCTCTATATAATCAAGAAAAATAAAATAGAATTTACCCATGCATTGAACAGCTAGCATTACAAAGCAACTTTTTATTTAATTTATTACAGCCTAAAGAAATAAAAAAGCAACTCAAAGAATTAGAGTGGTCGTTTAGAGGATAAAAGGAGATGAATGACACAAAGCGTACTGTATGCAACGGATTTAGAAAGTGTTTCATTTACATTGAGATGTAATTTCTGACTTACGACAATCATAAAAAATATAGAACATAATGAAAATTTTAAAAATTTTGAAAATTTGAAATTATAATTATTAACTCATGATATTGACACTGCATACATAGAAAAAATACTATACTTCCCTTGAAAATATGCAAATTTGAATTGAACAATGCAAGTTGTTTTTACCTTTTACATGTTTCCACGACTTCTCTTAAGCTGACAGTAATCAAGAATATGAATGCAAGATACATTATTATATTACAAAACTGACCATGCCGGTAGTCTCTCCATAAGCAAACGATTTATGAACACTTTAATAACTAAATTTGTTTTACAAAATAGTTTGAATCATATTCCGAGAGGCAATTTTAACTAATGATGAGGAAATTTTCGCAGCTGTAAGGAAGTAGGGAAAATATTATTTGTATTTTGCAAAAAATGACAAGTAAAGCACATGGTTGTTTTAAATTCTCTCTATCTCACTTCCCTTTCTCTTTAAAACAAAAGAAAGTACACTTTCGCTCTGTGTCAATTTCTAGTTATTTTAATGTTTATGAGAACGGCATATTTAGAGGACCATATTTTGGCTGATTTATATTTTTTCTGATCAAATTTGAAACCTTTATATGTGTTCTAAACTTATTATTTTCTTTTACTAGATCAAAACATAGAGATTTGATGAGTGTGACAGATCACTAAGAAATTCTTTCAAAGTATTCATGTCGCTGCCTAAAATGTGACCTGCGCTAATATACTGTGCATAGATTTGTATTTTTAAAGAATTCATTGAAATTGGTCTCTGTTCATTATCTGTACATTTTTTCTGTATCACAGATATTTTTTTCCTTTGTTTCATTTTCCGATCTTAAATCAAGATTTCCGCCACAATATGGCTAAAATGGTACCTCTAAGGTTTATCGCAAGATAAAAAGTAATGTAAATCAAAGAGCTCGGTTCAGGTTATGCATAAAATGACCCTGTAGATATACCAATTGATTGCTAAATACTTGATGTTCCATTTGAGGCATTAAGATAAAATAGAGACTTAGTGCTTTCATACCCCTTTAATTTTTTTTTCTTAAAGTCCGGGTCTTGGAGAACTGGCCTTTTGAAATTGCAATGTTCTTTAATTTTAAGGTAAATATGTATATTTAATCACTTTCAATGAAGAAAAACAATATGAGCGCACTCTCTGATCTAAAAAAAAAAAAATAAAACATGTCTTTTAATCCTCAGAATCAGTTCTATCATTTACTACTTGCATATTTTAGATTGAATATATATTATATTAAATATCGAAAAAATGGCTTTAAAAATTGGCAGTTTTGTAGACCTTTTCAGAATATAAGTAATATAAGGAAATTGGCGCATTTTGACTGGGTCAATTGTGTTTATGTGGAGTAGTTATAGATTGTGGAATATATGCTTGAAAAAAGCAGCCTCTTTGTCAAGTTGTACTATTTCATTACCGATATACATCATTTAGATAAATACATGTATAAATATGTAGATAAGCATAAATCAGCACAAGATAAACAAGATGTGTTTGTGAAACACTATGCGCCCGGCGTCAACAAAGTTCAAAAAATCTATTTTTAGCATATTGGTCACAGTCAAGGTCACAAGGTCATTGACCGTGGTGTCATTTGAAAGAACTTAATCAGTGGAGTATGCATCCCAAATATGAAGTTCCTATCTCCTTTGGTTCAAAAACTATAACAAAAAGTGTAAAAAGCTATTTTCAGCATATTGGTCACAGTCAAGGTCACAAGATCATTGACCTTGTTGTCAACTGAAAGGGCTTTATTAGTGGAGTATGCATACCAAATATGAAGTCCCTATCTCCTATGGTTAAAATGTTATGACAAACAGTGGAAAAAGCTATTTTTAGCATATAGGTCACAGTCAAGGTCACAAGGTCATTGACCTTGATGTCATTTGAAAGGACTTTATTAGTGGAGTACGCATACCAAATATGAAGTCTCTATCTCTTATTGTTCAAAAGTTATGGCCAAGGTTAAAGTTGACAACAGACAAACAGACAAACAGACAAACAGATAAACAGACAAACAGACAAACAGACAGGACAAAAACAATATACGCCCGGGATCTATCGATCCGGGCGCATAAAAATAATACGAATGATAAAGATAAAATAATGATATATCTTGCCTTTTTTCTCTCCTATATATATTTATTATATTTATTTTCCTTTTGAGTCGAACTTAATAAGGCAAAAAGGAACGCTGAATGCATATAAACAGTATAGAACAGATACTTTTATTAAAAGTATCTTGATTATTGCTACAGTTTTTTTTATTTCAGTAAAATTACTTTTATGGAAGGCTGGTTCAACAGGGTTGGTATTCTTATGTATTAAGTCGGTAGGGGGTTAGGATTTTTCACTTAAGATTAAACAAATTAGTCATTTCATGCCTAAAATTTTTATCGTTTTATTTTCCCTTTCTTTTTTTTTCTTTATTTAAGTTATTATTTTTTTTTGTTTGTTTACTTGTTTTCTTCTGAAATTTAAATTCTTTTTGTGTGTGTGTATGGACCATAGTTACAAAAAGATACGGAAGGAAAATACAATTATATATTTACAGAGTTGATAGATATGATATAAATTTTACGATGAATAAAACTAATGCAATCTTTTATATAAATATTTATGAAATAATAAAAAAAAAAACAACAATTTTAGCAAATTTGGAATTTCGATATTCCAATCATGCATATACATCTGCATGCTCAAAATCCGCCAACAGATAATTTATAATAATACAGAACTTAAAATTTACAATTTGTATACATGGTGGGTTGATATAAGAGTGATATATGATAAGTGTCTTAAGGGGGTACCTATGTCCGAAAAGTCTTTGTGTGAAATTTTCAAAACTTTGACATTTCTTTCCTGACCACTTGCTCTTAATTTCTAGGTATTAAAAACAATACCTTTCTATGCTTATTTTTACACAGGAGCACGTGCAAAAACAGTATGAAATGTTAAAAATAGATTATTTTCAGACATTATTGTTCTACGCAAAATATGTGCTAAAAAGAGCCAAAAATGTCAAATCACATTCAAAATCAACAGGTATTTAATTCATATGACTTGTATCTTTAAAATGAAGGCAAGTTCATTGTAATTCATTTCGTATGAAAAATTATAATGGGGCACAATGTATCACCCCATTTTTCTTGTCGTATTAAAGGAATTAAAACTGTATTTAATTTCTTTTTCCCCCTCTTTTTGATCCATCATTGTCGCTTGAGCGTCCCTTTTTGAAAATCAATGTATTGCATATTATTTGTTTGGTTCGATTTTTTGTTAAATAATGCGGCCTTAAAAGGTCGCAAATTAAGATAGATCATGCAGCCCAGAGTCAAAATAGGTTTAATAAGAAAAATGAAATCAAATTGTTAAAATGCTGCTCTTTATAGTGTCTAAACTTTGTTTTTTATAATGAATTTATTTTTGGGGCTTTGAAAGTTTATGTGCTTCTCTGGTGACCTCCAGTGTACCCACTCTTTTTCAAAAACCAGAGAAAGGGGTTGAATCACTTTTCCAACTTTCATACGTTTATTAAAAGTTTACCCGTTTTTGTGGGGTTTTTTGGTTTTTTTTATTTGCCGCATGCTTCTTCTTCCTGTTACAGTATATTCGGTGTAATGGAAAGTAAAATTCCTTAAGATCAATGTTTCAAAATCATCATTCTATGTTAGAAATTTAAATTGCTGTTTGTAAAATTTATTATCACACTCTTTATTTCTTATATTCAGTAGCAGTCCAATTTTGAAGGATATCAGTACTGAAACAGTCTGATATTGCGATTAATA